TTAGGGAACATGGAATAGGACAATGCACAGGAATTTGTGCATGAATTTAGCAAGAAATGGCCACAAAACTGTACACAAATTTGGTCGGAAAAAGGAGACTTTTGGCCACAGAGATATGGAAATTTCAGGCATATGACAAACAGTGTGGTGTTTGGTCGGAAAATGAACTAAAAACCTACTTTTTCTAGTGCTCATGGTAGCAAGCCAAAAACCGGTTGAAACTCTTTGTAGAAAGACACCCTCTGGGAAGCCCGTTGAAAAGCAGGAGGACAGCTTTGCTCAACTTGGGCCCTCCAGAGTCTTTGGACTACATGTCCCAGCGTTCTTGGACCCTGCTCATGCTAACTGCGACTGACTGAAGCTGAGGTTCAAAACATTTAGTGGGCTTGAGGTTGGGCAAGGCTGCCAGAGGGGCTCTTTGTGCATTTGTCTGATCTCCAGGATAGAACAACCAAGTTTCTTGCTCACTTGACCACAATCATTTTGGGAAGATGTTCTAATTTGCTGGCACTGGGATGAGCTTCTGAGGACTTCCAAAAATGGTTTGAGGGTCCCAAAGGCTGAGCAAAGCAAAGTTTGTTCTTGAATTCGCTGTGCTCAGCTGAAATAAGTCAGAAATTTCCTCCAGGCCAATGTACAAGCGCTACAATGCGTGGCATTCTCTGATTTTTTTTTTTTAACTACATAGTTTGGACCAGGCTGTCTCAGTAAAAATGTCTTGTTCAAGATACCAACCCAAGCTCGTGGCAATTCTTTCACACCTGCTATAACGGAGGTGCAGTAGAAAGGAAATTGTCTATTTTTATCTTTGTACAACAAAGAGCACCATTTCAGAAATCTGAGCCCAATGGAGAGAATCTTCAGCAAACAAGGCAAGACAAAGCAAAGGTCAAGAGGTGTCCCTTGATGTGGAATCCTAGGCCAGCTGAGACAGAAAAGGACCAGCATGCCCCCTACACCTGTTCTGTTTAAATTTGCATGGGGGGAGCAATTCCTAGGTGCTGCAGGGAAGGCCAGATTAATCTTTTCTTCCACTGCCATCCAGTCCTTTCCACACAGGGCAACTGCGCAGGTGACTTGCTGCTGTCTAGATGTTCTGGCCTACAACTCCCATGATCCTTCAACCTTGCTCCGCTGGCTGGGGATGGTGGGAACTGTAGGTCAACACATCCAGGCGCAACGGCTTGACCATCCCTGGTGTATGGGGCTCTCTTTTGCCCTCCCAACAGCACTGTGAGTTCGCTTTGGGCATCATTAGGAAAGAAAACAGCCAAGATCACACTGTCCGGCTACCAAGGGATGGATGTGCCCACGCTAAGAATACGGCACACGATTCCAAGGGTATTGTAGTGTTAGGACAAAAGAGGGAAAGTGATCGCAGGGGTGAGCATGGAGAAAGGGTACAAGGGATGAAATAGCGTGGCTCAGAGAAAAAGCAAGGAGGTGTGCACGAAATGATGGGTGGCCTGGAGAAAGGGAAACGGGGGACGTTGTTCGCCTGCTCCCATGACGCTGGAAGCCGGGCTCATCCCAGGATCGGGACCGATGAAAGGAAGGGCTTCGCACTGCCAACTGACAGAACCCACTGCGCCAGGAAGCGGTGCTGGCCGCCCGTCTGGATTATTTTATGCTGTGAGGCGCCCCGAGGCTTCGGTAAGGGGCGGCATAGAAACGTTTTAATAAATAAATAAATAGATAGATAGATAAATAGATAAATAAATGTCTTCAAAGGGGGGTTGGACAAATGCGTGGAGGAGAAAGAGACCCACGACTATTGCTGGCTATGTGTGGCCTCCAATATCAGAGGCGGCATGCCCATCAGTCCTGCTGGTGGGATCAGATGGACAACTGACCGGCCATGGCGTGAACCAACTGCTTGTCTGCTCCAGTGCAGCTCTTGTTATGCTCTTACGTTAATTTAATTAACATCAAATTAAAAATGTTAATTAAAATGTTAAGAGTTATGTTAACTCTCTCTCCTTGGCTGCATTTCCAGTCGCTGTTCTTGTTTGGTTTTCCTTTCCTCCCCTATCTCGGTCTTTCTTTCTCTTCTTTATTCCACCTGGGGCAAGTCTTGGAGAATTCCCAAGAAGAGAGGCTGGTGAGTCTGAAAAGTTCTGAGCTGTATTCGACTACACACAAACAGAAAAAAGGATGTGTTTTTCTCTTCCTCGTCCCCAAACTCTCTGAGGGAAGCAGGTTCAAAGCAGGTAGCAGAGGAAGGAATCCAAGTTTATTTTGCTGGCTGCCGTTCACCAGGGACGGAATGACAAACTTATTAAAACAGGAGTTAATTGTGTGTGTGCTTTTTGGTGCAGGGGTATAAATGCTGTTAAGTTATACAATTGTGTGTTTACTTAGAAACAAGTCCTGTTATGTTCTATGGGGCTTCTTCTCAGGAGAATATACACAGGGCTGGAGCCCAAATCTAGTGAGAAATGACAGTGCAGGCTTTAAGTGCCCATGCAGTTGCCATGTGCTGGGGGGGGGGGGACGCTCTCTCAGCCCAATCCAATGCGTGGATTTGTGCACATCCTTGCACAAGATCAGCTGGGGCCAGGGGGAAAGAAGGCACGATGAGAACCTGTGCATGAGGAGGAGGGACAGACGCACTGCCAAAAACCAAAACAAAGCTTCTGTGTTTGGAAGAGTTGCTGGAGGATGGAAAAATGAGGACGGCCTGTTGTGAGGAGGGGTATAGAAAGTATCATAGAATCATAGAAGAGTAGAGTTGGAAGGGGCCATGAAGGCCATCCAATCCACCCCCCTGCTGTTGCAGGACATGAGTTTACACCATCCTGTTCAGATAGCTGTCCAGTTTCTTCTTGAATGTCCCAGTGCAGCAGAGCCCCCCACCTCTCCAGGCAGCCGGTTCCACTGCCATATTGCTCTGACAGTGTGGAAGCTTTTCCTGATATCCAGCCTGAATCTGGGTTGTCGCAGCAGACTTGATTATTCCGTGTCCTGCACTGGGGCATCAGCAGGAAGAGATCTTGGCCTTCCTCTTTGGGACAGCCTTTGAGGTCCTTCTAGAGGGAGCTCATGTTCCCCCTCAGCCTTCTCTTCTCAAGGCTGAACATGCCCAGTTCTCCCAGTCTCACCTCACAGGGCAGAGTTTCCAAACCCAGGATCATGTCTGTTGCCCTCCGCTGGACCCTTTCCAATTTACCTGCATCCTTCTTAAATCTTGGTGCCCAGAAATGGACACAGTATTCCCAAGTGAGGGCTGACTAGTGAGAACTATATAGAGGAACTAATACTTATGTTCATGCATCCCAAAATAGCATTTGCCCTTTTGGCAGCTGCATTGCATTGTTGGCTTCTGTTTAGCCTATTGTCCACAATAACTGCAAGATCTTTTCTTGTTCAGTTCCCTTGAACCATGAATTCCCCATCTGTATCGATGCCTTTGGTTCCGTTATCTTAGGGGGAGGACATGGCATTTGTCCTTATTGAATTACATTCCGCTGCTTTCAGCCCAGTATTGAAGTTTATCAAGATCGCCCTGGATCTTCATTCTATGTTCTAGGGTAGTGGTGGTGAGCCTATAGCATGCGTGTGACAGCGGGCACGGAGAGCCCTCTCTCTCAGCAGAAGGTCCAAGTGTTTAGAATGGGAAGAAATGATGAGCTGTATTTATCACTGCATTAGGGTTAGGGGTGTGCAGCAGGGTAGGGTTAGGGCTGGGAAAACGAGGTGTCCTGACATGTTTCC